CACGTGCAATCCGGTGGTCAACCTCTATGTCGATGTTAGCGTTCTTCGAGAGCATGCTTCCAAGATAGCGAAAACTCTCAACCGTCTCCAGGTTCACACCGTCAATGGATAATTCTGGATCAACTAGAGATCGACAAGGAGCGGGCTGAAGCACAACCTTCGTCTTGGAGGTGTTAATCAAGAAAAAGCTAATATGAACCTAGCAGGAGTATTTGTTTATGGGTATGGATAGCAAGAAAGACCTTCTCTTAACCTATCAGGGGTATTAGTTTTAGGTATGGATAGCAAGAATTTAGCTAAGCTTTTTTTCTATGTAACACGGTTTAGACTGTCTGACGATTGATACGTTCGAGCGCGTTTGTGTGTATTCTTTAATTTGAAAGGAAAAATGTGAGTGTGGAATCAAACTATTGATTTTATTGGACTCCTTTGGAACATGTGTTAGTCATGGTCTAGTAATCAGTGTCGGGCTTCTGATCTTTGAGTATGGAATTCCAGGAGTTCTTAAACGTGTTCCGCCCTTTCAGTTGTGAGCACCTTATAAAAGTGACCCCGTTATTAGGTTCAAAGGGCAGGAAAAATCCCTACGGCGGTGGGCGTTACTAGCTGAACGCCTTCTCTCTGATCAGTACATCAGAATTAGGAGCGGTTATACCTAAATCGTACTTGGAAGTTTTTCACACGTGCGCATACAAATTAGAACGTACGTGTTCACTAGGAGTTTCATCGCAAATAGTACAAATTCCCAAACAGTGGGTTAAAAGCTACCGAAAACAATCATCACCTAGAAGTTCTGGAATTTTAAAAGACTAAAAATCCAAAAGATTTGATGTTACACTCGTTGCGTTAAACAAAAAGAACTGCTATCCTTAACTTTGTTTAACGCAAACTGAAGTTTATTATAAGACACTTCTATTAATGTAAACAGAATAACGACCTATATCTCTAGAATGTGTATTTATTAGCTCAATATTTAGCTATTATAGCTTCGTCAGGAGCTATCGCTGTTGAAACAAACCAAAACAACAATCTTTATATATATATAAAGAAGAAAAACATCTCTGTGTCTGTCTGTTTGTCTCTTATCTAACTACTCCTAGGTCACTGGATCAATCTCAACTAAATTTTGTGGGATGATAGTCTGGAACAAGGGGCATATTAATGGGGTTCACAACATTTCCACCTCTATTATTGCTGTTATTGAGCGTCTATTACCTTTAACGTAAGCTAACGTTAACCTCATTCATAGATGGCGCCGCGTTCTTTCACCCAAACTAAAACTATTAAATTTTCTGTCTCCCTGTGGGACAGAGATAAGTCTTCAGACTTACAAGGCTAAAATCAAGGGTCGATTCCCTTGGTAGACTCAGCATATAGCTCTATGTGGCTTTGCTTGTGGTAAATAAACAGTGTGTTAAACAACAGATGAACTATTAAATACATTGTTACGTGCTTAAAATATTTCTTTATTCTTGTACATATAGGTACGTTTTCAGATGTTCGTGTTCTTCAGTACTATTACATCAATACATACACAATATAGCATCAAAAATATCTACATCAACATTGTGAAACCATGATATTCTATCTATCATGTACGGCTCGACATGTTCCTCCTATACACTCGGAATCTGAGGGTCGCGGGTTCGACTCCCGGTCACACCAAACATGCTCGCCCTTTCAGCCGTGGGGGCGTTATAATGTGACACTCGATCCCACTGTTCGTTGGTAAAAGAGTAGCCCAAGAGTTGGCAGTGGGTGGTGATGACTAGCTGCCTCCCTCTAGTCTTACACTGCTAAATTAGGGACG